GTCTTGATAGTGAGGTGGTCGTAACACCAATATACGACTGTTGTTGACGCGCACAGTCGTCAATAGGACATTTAAATTCATATATTCATGATCACGCTTCAAAGTAGAATCGTCTTTAGGAGTGCAGTTGTTTTCAAGAACCAATTGTGATGTCTTACAATTGTTGCAGTATATCATGAGTTTTTTTTAATATATTAGTATCATTGATTGGTGTATCGTTTCTACTAGCAAGCAATGGTTACAAAATATCATCCATTGAAAACGCCATTCAACAAAGACTACAGCAAGAAAGCTATATATTCAAAAACAACAAAGACAACGACGTAATCCTATATTACAGAAATCATGTATCAATAGCACATAAGATAGACAAAGTCGTCCTCAAACAAATCGTGAAATTTGAAACAGTGGAAACATCCATAATGATGAAGCGTAGAAGTGACACATTGCACAAAATTGAAGATCGTAGCAACTAATTAAATGACCGTTATGTGAGACTGGAAGATGTAAACGAACACATTGAACAATTAATTACTAAATTAATTTCATTTGTTTTATAAATTGTGAAAAAGATAATTATTTTTGGTGAGTTTAGACAGAATATTTCATAAAAATATCTATTTGATCAACTAATTTAATGACAAATTGAAAATCAATCACCCAACCAACAAACCAACCAACCAACCAACAAACCAACCAACCAACAAACCAACCAACTAACCAACCAACAAACCAACCAACAGCCAACCAACCAGCCAATTTGTTGATGATTCATTCAACCGTTCAATCACTTATTCAAGCAATCAAGACAGTGAACTACTAACCAATGAACAAACTAAATCTGCCTGACAATATTTATTCTATTTCTCTGATCTAAAAAACAAAACATCCATAATCTATTTTATTTTTATGATGCCTATATACTAATGTAGATTTGTGTGTTTGTTTGTTTGTGTTTTATTTTGTGTGTGTGTGTTTGTTTGTGTTTATGTGCGTGTGTGTGTTGAACGAATTCTTGTTATAAAATAAGCTGTATTTCTTTGGTTTCACTCTTCTCAGTAATAGCATCGGATGACGACCGGATTAATAATAATAACATTATTCTCATTAATTTATTTTATTATTAATTGTTGTTTATATATAGTTTATAACGAAAATTAATCTTAAGCAGATGGAATTTTGTTCGCTTGAGACTTGTTTAACGGAAAAGTCATAATAACAGTTAAGAATCAACAGCAATTTTAATCTTCATAACAGAATCTAATTATAATTAATAATAATAACATAAAAATAATAAATATTTACTATAATTATTATTTAATATTTCGTACAAATGCATGCGTAGGTACACGCATGAATGACGACTGAAGTCTTACATTACAAGAACACAGATCTTCTCTCATCTTATATTCGAAGTTATGGCATACATATTCTTTGTATGTTATATGTCATCATCGTCGTCGTCATCCTCACAGGAAGCAAACCCACACCACAAATTTTCTCTCGAGTAGAACACGTAAAAGGCGTGTTTGCGAAAAATGAAAAATTATAAATCATAAACAAACGTGAAAGAATGTATAAACACGAATGTAAACACACACAAATATAAACACACACACAAACACACACACAAAGAAAAAAACACCACACACATATAAACATACAGATTCTCTCTCTCTCTCCTCTCTCTTTCCCCCCCCTCTCTCTCTCTCTCTCACTTTTTTTTCTCTTTCTCTCTCACTCACTCTTTCTCATATGCGTTGGCAACGAGCTGCCGACAAATTTGTTTAAATGACATTGCACTTCTCACTTTATTAAAACGTAAAAAATGCTGCCTCTGATAAAAATTTATCACACACACATACACACACATATACACACACAACACGCACACACACATACACTTACACAACACACATGTTTATACAGGTATCCAATTTATATTATATAATTCTCATTAATTTTGGCCATCAGAACGTAAGAAAGCTTCCTACTTGATTTAATTTTAATTTTTTGTTGTTGAATTGCACACACACATCACACATGCACACGTACATCTACACACACACACTTGCACATTTACACACACATATTTATACAACATACTGTACGTGTATACCGTGATTTGTATTTCTGTATTATGAGGTGTTACAATTGTGTTTGTATAACTTATCGCTCGAATGAATGATGGCTGCTGGCTTATGATTTGCACAAATATTTGTTCAACTGTTATGCCCCTCCTAACTATTTTTCTCCAGATGCATTTGTTGCTGATGTGTTTGTTGTTCTTGGCGATGATGACGTCATGATGACGTTGACGGTGATGCTGATGACGCTCTTAAGTTAGATGATGATGATGTTAATGATAAAGATATTAACAATGATGATGATGATGATGATGACGACGAAAATGATGACGATCATGTTAATTACGATCGCCATCATCATTGAGTTTGTTCATTGCGATGGCTAAAAAATGATGAAAACAATCTACTAAATAAACTGTTGAGAAATTGAGGAAAAAAGTACTTAGGGTATAAGCGTGTGTATTTGTATGAATACGCATACATTATGTACATAAGTGTATCAAAACAAACGCACATTTGTACCAGGCAGACGCATGATGATGCGCGTTAACAGGAAATTATACATGAAACAATCCTGATAGTTGATAGCATATTTCGGCTCTTTCCTAACCCAATAACTTCAAGATCATACCCGCCGGCTGTCATACTCGAACATGTTAGTCGTATTTGTACTTGTGCGTGACCAATGTGCGTATTTCTGCTTGTAATTGCGTTTTGTTATTATCACTAGAGAAATAACTTTCATCATTAATATCGTCAAAACAATAATTTTTATTCTCATTACAGCCCTTATCCAAAAATCATTACATTAGAACGCATAGGCGCCTCCAATCATACTATAGCGCTTCAAAAGAACGCACCGTCTCCCTGCATTACGTTACGTTACGTTAAGTTACGTTACGTTACGCGCCCATCCCTCTCCCGTTTTACGATGACGTCATAAAACCGCCAGTGACGTAATTCGTGAGAGTTTGGCGGGCTTTTCACGCTCCGACGCAGATGCAATTTCTAGTATGCGCTCATTTCTCAGGACGCATCTGACTATTATTCATATTATTATTCTTTTTATTATTCTTTTTATTATTATTCTTATTAGAATTTATGTTAGTATTCTTATTATTCTCCTTATCATTATTTGTACTTATTTCATCAGGGCTGCTATGTTATCGTTTATAAGTTTTTTTGGGTTACTTTCTAGTTGTGACCGTTTTAATAGTTAAATAGTGTTTTTGGTCGTTGGAGTTTTTTTTAATAATTTTTTTGTTTCTGTTTTGTCTTTGCTTTAGTTTATTATTGTGGCTTATGCCAGAACGATATTGTGCTGGTTTAACATTCGACATCAACATCACCACTACCATCATCATCATCATTCTCATCATCACAATATTCGTCATCATCATTAATGTCATCATCATAATGATCATCATTATGATGACCATCATCATCATCGTCGTCATCGTCCCAATGTTCATCAGCATTACAATCAAACGCTTGTTGCAGACGTCATAACCATGAAAATCGATATCATTAGTTTTATTTTTCTTTGCATTTGGAAACGTCAACTGGAGTGCCGTAATCAACATCATCATCATAACCACCACCACCACCACCATCATAATCATCTCATCTCATCATCATCACCATCATCATCATCATCATCAATATCGCGGCACGTTACAGAGTAACGGCGAAGTTATTAAGGAACACTCGCAGAGTATCTTTTATTATTAAGTGACTATGATGGCGATGATGACGACGATGATGACGTTGATGGTGATGATTGTAAAGATGATGAAGAGGACGGTGACGTGCAACATGACAATAGCGAAGAATGGTTGAACATTACGATGGCAATAATGACGTGATGATAGTGATACTACTATTAATAATAATAAAAATAATAATAATTATAATAAGCAATTATTACGTTACATATCGTTGATGATGTTAACACTGATGATGATGATAATGATGATGATGATAATGATGATGATGAAAATAAAAGTTGTGATAGTGATAACGACGATAATGATTATAATGATGATGAATGACATTCAATGAGCCTTCTAACATTTTTTTAATCTTAAGGTTCATATTTATAATTCTATTGTGCCAACAGTGGCAAACAGTGGCTTTACTACTACTACTACTAACGCTACTACTACTGCTTCTGGTACTGCTACTACTGCTGCTGTGCCGCTACTTCTACCACTACAAATAATAATGATAATGATAACATTATCATTGATGTTTAGCGATAATAATGTTCTGTTAGCGTGAAATTAATACCTAAGATCATATGGTTGGCTGGTTTCAATTTAGAGTCCCAGCATACATCATCATCTGATGACGATGGTGACGATCATGGTGATGGTAATGGTGAAAATGTTTCTATATGATGATGTTGACGATGATGAGATGATCATCATGATAATGGTGGTGGTGTTGCTTGCTAATAAAAATGTCGTTGATTGTGATAATGATGATATTAGTAGTAGTAGTAGCAGTAGTAGTAGTAGTAGTAGTAGTAGTAGTAGTAGTAGTAGTAGTAGTAGTAGTAGTAGTAGAAGTAGTAGTAAAAGTAGTAGTAGTAGAAGCAGCAGTAGTAGAAGTAGTAGTAGAAGTAGTAGTAGTAATAGTAGTAGCAGTAGAAGTAGTTGTTGTACTAGTAGAATGTAGGTGGATGATTTCAATTAGAAAACCTTACGTTGATGGCGATTTCATACGAAAATGATGACACCCTTGGAACTATGAATGCTGGTTATGATTATTTGAGTGACGACGACGATAATAATGATAATGATTGTAATTATGGTTGCGATATATACAATGATATAGATATGTTTGCATGTATGTGTGTGTCTGTGTGTGTGCGTGTGTGTATGTGTGTGTGCGTGTGTAAAACAGAACAAAACGTTTTAAACATTATTTTATATTCTTAGCTGTCCAAATATTTTTTCAACTTTACAGCTTAACTAACAAACTAATGTCACAATGAAACTAATCCAACTAAATTCTTAAAAATCATTTTATTGAAACTAATTTCAAACACAAAATTAATGTAGGCATCATTGATAAAAACTGTTTCATACAGTTATTCATTTGTATTATTGTTTGTATCATTGTGTATATAGTTCGATACCAAATACACAACTGCATTTTAATTTCCTCTGTGATTGTGGTATTTTACACGAAGATACCATTTACTTTGGTGTGAACGGTGGAATACCGCATGTCTTGCCCATCCACATTTTGTTGGGCTTCGGATACCCGTCTAGTACCTTTCTAGATGCAGGGTCGTATTTGTAGTACCTGCAATGATAGAACGTATTAATTAGGTTGTATATTACAAATGAGAACAACCCATCAGCAACACTGATGCCATTTATAACAACACCAAACAACAAATAATAGCAACACATGGAAGAACGCAACAACAACAACAACAACAACAACAACATCGTAAATAACTCAACAATCACCTCTACAATTCTACATGAACACAGCAAAATGCACAACAAACTGCACAGCCAGCAAATGGCAAATCAACAACAACGACATACTGATTGCCGGAGAAGACATAAAGGAAAGGACTTGAAGAGAGACGTAGGATGCTGTTTAGTGGTGTGGGCAAGTTCGGGAAGACCTCTTGGATCGCTTTCGGAGTCACTCCAGCCGCAAGATCAAACGTCGACTCGTCGAATTGATACAAATAATTATCCTGTTCAGTGGGGGTGATGAAGATGATGATGGAGAAAAAGATGCAAATGACGATAACGAAAATTGAAACAGATGATTATTTGGGTGAGAGTAAGATTTAAAGATAAATAAACATTGCTTAAGTCATATCAAGAGCCAACCTTCAGCAAATAAATAGGCCCTGTATCAGTAGATGTGAAGGCAGCTTGAGGACTTGATGGGAATGCGGAACTGAGTTCGTTCTTGTGCACCAATAATTGAAATCCGTAATAAACCCAAACCTCTGAGCCTGGATTGTTATTTAGTATTAATTATATTCTCATAAAACTACAGAATGTTGCAAATTAAATAAACGTGTTTTGTCTATTATTAATATCTATATTCAAATATAATTTCAACGCAGACCTTTGAAAAAGTAAGTGTAGTAGGTTTTCCACGAGAAGACAGCAGCATCAACATCAGAAGGAGGTTTCTCGTACGCGGTGGAAATAAGAGCTGGAAAGCCCGGATCGACTCCGTAGTCACTGGCTCTCCACATCTTGTCACCGACGTAAAAATATATGCGCTGGTCATGAGCTGAAAATGTTGTTTTTTAAAATTAAATTTGAATTAACGTCATAATTGAACTTTAAACAGCAACAGAACTACATATCTATTCAAAACAGAAGTTAAGAACTATAAAGACAATCCAAAAACCAGGTACGAACTTTGAGCAACAGCCTTAACGACAAGATTGCAAGTCTCCGGATTGGATGGATCGGGAATGATGGAAGTCGTTGGATTGGGAGCTGGAGTGGTGGCTGGTTTTGTTGGTTGTGTTGAGGGCAGTGTTGATGGAGCCGTCGTTGATGTTGGATTATCTTGGGCTCTTCCACCTATCGATAAAATAACATTTTATTGGTTTGATCAAAAGATGTTTTATATAAATTATTATTCATTTTTCTTCTTTTTTTTTAAATTACGATAAATTAGTGAATAAATAGTTACCAACCATATAACGTTTGCGCTCCCAAAATATCGTCATATCTCAGCTTAAAATTTTCCTCATAGCCTGCATAATACGGAGCCATCAATGCGCCTTGAACATTTGAATGACCCAGTCCTGTGGACGATTTCAATTTTTTTAGAAAAAAATATAATAATAACAAAAACCCTAATTGGAACCAACCAATAGCATGCCCCAACTCATGGGCAGTAACAATTTTCAAATTGATGCCCTTGTTAACCCCATCCGTCCAATCTTCTTCGGCGTCATAATGAAGCTCCCCGTTTTCTGGAAAGTAGGCGTGCGCAAGTACGCCATCTGTCATGTTGATAACAATTGCAGTTTTGTTTTGAGTTAATTAATTTATTTATGAAGATTGTTTATTGCCAATTTCTAGTTTAACTGAATGAAGTAAAATTACCAACAACCTCTAAAAATGAAAAAATAATCTGACTTGGCCCATCAAATGCATTTTCAGCACCATCTCCATGATTTCTAGTGGAAAATTTGAGGTTCAAATCAGCCTTCCCTGTTGTTTCCTGGAAATCGAGTGGGACTACCTGACTCCAGAGAGCAAAGGCATCTGTGATCGCTTGTCTCTGGGTACTCTCTGACATTCTGTCAGCATACCAAAAGTTCTGCATTTTCCATTTCAGTTGATTTTTGGTCCATTTGTAACCTAAAAAATTTAGCAATCGTACTGCTAAATAATTTGGTATTTAACTAATGACTAACTTTACCAAAATTGAAAATTCTGTTTATCATTCGTACAAAATTTGATAATTCAATGATAAATCATTTCTATATCTGCAAATCATTGAATTTCAGTCAATTGTATATGAAACCAAATCTTAACCAACCCCACTCTACCAACACTAGCCACCCTAACCCACCCGATCCACCCAACCTACCAGGGGTGTTATATCTTTTAGCTATTTCCCGTTTTTCATCATCACTTCCTTCGTCGCTAATGATGTCGGGAATTCCACATCTCGGAATCGTCATGGCGTGAATAGTTTCGGCGTTCAGTTTTCCAGTCTCTTCCAGATGATACATGTTCTGGAATTCTCTGCAAAAGTTAGTGTTGTTGAACTTGCGAGATGGTTATTTCATTGTGTGTGTGTGTGTGTGCGTGTATGAATGTGTGTGCAAATAAAATTGATGAGATAGTTTTATGTGTGTATGTGTGTGTGATAGATAGTTAGAGAGAGAAAGAGAGGAGAGAGAGAGAGGGAAGAAGAGAGGAAGAGAGGAGTGTGTGTACAGTGTGATTGGGCGTGCATATAAAATGCGACTTTAATTTTTTGTAAATGTTGATTTTCTTGACAAAAAAAATGTAATGGTATTAATTATAAAAATATCAAACTTTATTGCGTTGGTTTTAGTTTCTGAATCATACGCAACACCAGGTTCTGGCTCGGGCAAGTAACCAAATCTTTGTAAAAATTCCTGTCGATGTGTTTCCATTCAGTTTTTGCCATTTTTGATTAAGTCAAATAAGATTTTAACATCAGAAATGTTGCAACTAGTTAGTCTGCATCATTTAAAGAAGCGTTTAAGTTGTTTAACTAGTTGATTCAAATTTTTTAATCTCAAAACTGACAGTGATGTTTCTCCTCAATATCATTCTTTTCATAGATTTAGTAGCGTTATAGACTTATGAAATATTTAGAAGCCAAATTATTTCTAAACCAAGTAAAATATTTTCTTTACAAAGTTTATTTCAAATAAAAAAAGTTTTAAAAAAAATAAAAAGACGAGAATAAAAACGTTTTTTTATTAAAACAATAAATAACAAATTATATCAATAATAAAAAACATTAATAATATAAATAATAATAATTAAGATACCGTAGGGTAGACGGCATTTTCTCTTTTGGCTATCTCACTAAAATAATTCAATGAAAAAATTCAAATATCAATAACAATATTGTATTAACAATTACCAGATAAATACACACACATAATGCACACACAACACACACACACACGCACGCACGCACGCACGCACACACGCACACACACAAGCATACACAGCATACGCACAGGAAATAAAAATGTAAGTGATATGGGTGAAAAAAGTCGACACGCGATGCAGATACGGTCGGTTTTATTTATTTTTATTCGGCAGAGTAATAGCACATCTCTAGCGACTAAAATGTGTGTTGTGAATTTACCCAAAAAAACACCGTAGTTTGCATTGTTATCAAAAAACAGTTTTTAATGCAATATGTTATTATGAGACGTACAACTTAAAATGAGTTGTTTAATTAAACAAAAACTTTTGAGAAATTCATAACCATTTTTAAATATTGCTACCACATTAAAACAGATTTTCTTACTAGGTTATATATACACTGACCTACAAAAAAATCACAGACACAGACACACACATATATTTATGCATGACTTACCTATCGCCAGCATTATTTTCCTGAAACAAATAGGTTAAAATAGAATAAAAAAATTGTCGCAACAACTATACTCATACACACAAACAAACGCAAACACACAGAAATATTTATTACAAAATTTTAGTGAAAAATTCAAAAAATTACACGTCATTATGTTTACCATAGAATCTTTCTTGGTCATCCAAATCCATTTATGATGGTGCCTGTTAATGTGGTTGCAATAATTAAAAATGGTTAATACTTCCTCAAAAGATTTTTTTTTAATTGGTTAATTTATTTTACTTTGTAAGTCTTATAATAATATTAAAATTATAATAGTATAATAATATTAATATTAAAAACAGTCCTTTTTACCTTTTTTTGTTGTCAGTAGGTAAGTTAGGCTCTGAAATCTGTGAGATACAAATTTTGGTTTATTAAATTCATTGTTCAACCTTATCACTTATCATCGTCGTCTTCGTCGTCATACACACACACACACACACACACACACACACACACACACACACACACACACACACACACACACACACACACACACACACACACATATATATATACACACACACACACACACACACAAATGCACTTAGAGGCATTATGTTTACCAAAGTATCTTTCTTGGTCATCCAAATCCATTTATGATGGTGCCTGTAATGTAGTTGCATGAATTAAAAATGATTAATAATACTTCAAAGACTTTCTTCTTAATTTTAATTTTTTAATGAATTAATTTTTTTTTATTCAATTACGAATGGGTTTTTACCTTTTTTTGTTGTTGGTTGGTAAGTTGGGCTCTAGGTCCTGGGGTATATATTTCATCATCATACTATCATCATCGTCGTTTTCATCATTCTTTTCATAGATTTATTGGCCTTTTCTAAACACGCTACATGCGTATACGCACACATACACAAACACGAACAAATAAACAAACGAACGAACAAATACAAAAATAAATTACAAATGGGATGTTGAAAAACTAGAAAAATGCCCACAAGTACATAAGTTTTACCATTGTATCTTTCTTAGCCATCCAAATCCATTTATGATGGTGCCTGTTAATGTGTTTGCACTAATTAAATTTTATATTAATTAGTAAATTAATTTTATTTTTTAATCAAATTAAAAAAAATAAGGTTCAATTAATTTACCTTTTTTTGATGTCGGATGGAAAAAATGGCGGTGGATCCTGGGTGAAATAAAATTTTTCAATATTTTTTCATTATCATCGTCATCATTCCATCATATATCGTAATCTTCACGCTTATCATCATCTTCATCTCATCACCATCTCCATCATCACCTTTGTCATTTTAACAATTTACTATATTTAACATTTCAGCCAAATGAAAATTTCCAAACAACATAAAAAATGTTTAAACAACACAAGAATAACTGAAAGCAAAAACTGAATAAAATCACCTTATATTTTGTTCTGTCAGGAATGAAGTTCTTCTGTCTCGATAAACTACTTTCTGTCAAGCTGAAACCATTTGTCAAAAACATATTGTTATATTATTAGTTTGGTGTCAAGACGGTGTAATAGTTAGAGGCACCTGGCTCACTTTTGCAGTAAATGGGTTCGAACACTTAGCGTCTATTATACGCAATGTTCGACGCATTGGTTCACGCTTATTTGCATAAAACTGCGTATTGCTTGCAAATGAAACAATAAAAAACAATGGCAGTAAACATTACATTGAATTAATTTGAACTTTTAATTAAAAAAAAGAGAGAAAAAATAGCTCCAACGCATCAAGAAGCTCTCTCTTAAACTCCGGCTCTTCTGACTCGGGCAAATTTGACTCCATCACTTCTCGATCTTCACGAAAGTTTTCCTCACCCCGATAACTAACATCAAGTCCTTCCGAGAGATCTGATTCTCTTGAAGATGTCGCGAGCAGATTGCTAGCGTAACCCGATACGAGGACCGCAACTAACAAAAGCTCAGACAGGTACATTTTTATTTAAATTTAAAAACTAACTTCAACTAAAATTTCAACTACAATCCTATCTACGATATGAATATTGCACAAAAGTATTTCAATATTTTAAACAGGGAGATTGAACTATCTCCCAAATATTTCTAACTTGCCACAGTCAATTTATTACAGACACGCACAAGTAGATCGGATCGGCTAAATTCGAAAATCATTCAGACGATTTTCATCTTTGAATGAATGACACCGAAATAAAGTTTATAACTATATATATATATATATATATATATATATATATATATATATGGGTGAAAATAGTTGATTTGTCATTAGATACATATATGCACTATATATATATATATATATATATATACACTTATATATATATATATATATATATAAGTGTGTGTGTATGTGTGTGTGTGTGAATGTGTGTGGAGTGAGCGTGTTTGTGCGTGTGGGTGTGTTTGTGTGTGTAGGTTTAATTGTCAAACCCGTTTAATTTTTTCATGATCTCTAGCGTTGCATCCTTGAAGAACAAAAGTATTGTTCAATCCTAATTACCCGATTAAGATGACAAACTCTGAAAGAATATCAAAGAAACAATTGTCAAACAAATACTGTTACTGCTACTACTGCTAGTACTACCACTACTACCACTCCTACATTTTCTACTTCCATTACCATTATTAATAATACTACTGCATCTACCATTATTACTACTTCTTCACTACTACTACTGTTGCTTTTTTTACTACCACTACCACTACTACAACTATTGTTACTACTAATACTACTACAATACTGCTGCAGCTACTACTGCTACTGCTAAATCGATGATAACTATCAATTAATTATTTTATCCTGTTCAGTTTAATTGGTGTGAGTTTGAGTTTTGGCGCTGGCTAAAAGTTTATGCGGACCACATAACACTACATTGAATGAACTTCAAAGTAAACAAAAATTAGAAATAAAGCGACGATAAAGCTATTAATATTAACTAAAAATTATTCATAAGAGTAAAATTATTCATAACAATTTTACGGTCATAAAGTTTTAGCCAGCCATGTATTAGTTAATACAGAAGGTACTTCAAAAGTCCTCACAAGTGAGCCGTTAGGTTCCGGAAAGTCTCTTTTAGATGTTGAAGAATTAACACTGCTCTTAATTACGTATTTTTATTATTAATATTTGTTATTATCATACTTTTATTATGATTATTATTATTATTATTAATGTTATTGTTATAATTACAGATAATTTATTACCATGATAATTAATTTTGTAATTAATATTGTTGATGTGTTTACCATCACTTTTATTATCCTCATCACGTGATTATTTATTTAGTTTTGTAGTCCTCATCAACATCGTCTTCTTCATCATCATCATCGTCACACCATCATCATCATCGTTACACCATCATCATCATCATCGTCAGACCATCATCATCGTCGTCATCGTCATCATCATCATCGTGATGTTATTATCAACATTGACTTCATTTTCATCATATTTCACCATAACACAATGAGGTCATCGGCATCATCAGTCTTATTCTCATCACTTCACTTTCGTCGTCGTCATTTTAACAACAGAAGCCATCTTTTTATTTTCCGTATTTGATATATATTATCTTGGATCGACCGATTAGTTATCATTATGTATTAGTATAGTTCGACTTTTTTTAAATGTGGCGCTGATATGTTAATTTGTTGATATGTTGATGCTGGTATTTTGTTACTAGTTTCATGTAGCCCTTAATGACCTAATCATAAAAACGTAAAATTTGGTGATAGAAATCTCGAAGTTTTTGATATATAATATCTTCAATTGACCGAAAAGTTATCATTATTTATTATTGAACACGCATTCAATTATACTTAGAATGTGTTGATATAGTGAATTAAGCTGGTGGTTTGATACTAGATTTATATAATGTAATACCCAATCTCCTAAACACGAAAATGTACAATTTGGTATGGAAATCTCGAAGTTTTTTACATATAGTACCTTGAATCAGCCGAATAATTTCCACTGTGTATTACAATAGTTCGATATTTTTAGAATGTGGCACTTATATAATAAGCTAAGCTGGTAATTTGATACGATTGAAAAATTCAAATATTAATATTTTTATTTTATTTTAAACGCTACTTTGAAAGGAGTAGGATATAAAGTATTAGTATATATATAAAGAACATACTTATATGGGAAATCAGCCATTTATAACAGATAATACTATGCGTACAATGGAAACTCAAATATTTAGAATTATAACAATGAATATCATGAATTATCAGGCGTTCAAATTTTATTACATATATATGTATGCAAAATGATAGATTGCAGTGTTTTTTTTACGATAAATTAATATAACATTTTTATAAAATATAAATTTCAAAATTATATTAACGTTAATTAGAATGTATGAAACCGCTAAAAGAATTTAATAATATATTATAATAAAAAAATAAAAGCTCATACTATAAATAAAAATTATAAATCCTAGCGATTGAATAAAATATACATTTTCAAAGATCATAAAACTATTAAAGCTTACCTTTTACATGGTATACTACGATAATAAAGAATTTCCTATAATATATATATATATATATATATATATATATATATATATATATATATATATTATTGATGAAAATCACAGTATATATATATTATTGATAAAAATCACAGTATATATATATATATATATATATATATATATATATATATATATATATATATATATATATATATATATACATTAAAAGCTGCACTACAAGCATGTAAATGGTTGAATATAGGCTTGTTGAATAAACAACATAAATTCGATAAATTTTAATAAAATCTGTTTTTTTCTGGAAATTAAAGTTAATTAAACCAAATTACATTTAATAATTTCATTTTATTCGTAGTTCAATGTTTTTCCTCATGGTGAAAACCACACATTTCACATTTCCAAACTTTATTCAGCTTTGTCCTTTTCACCATCTTTATCACAATCCCCATCTTTTTCATTTTCGTCATTCTTCATCTTCTTCATAATCATTTGACCGTCCAAACCTGGGCCCAGGGACCCACCAAACACCTTTATTTACTTTGAACGACTTCCGGTTGTTCCTCGTACCTTGATCGATTAATTAATTTATGATTGACTGGTAGATGAATGAATGAATAAATAGATAATAAACAAATAAATAAAAATGGCCAACCATATAACGTCTGCGCTCCACGTATATCGTCATCTCTCAGCTTAAAATTTTTCTCATAGCCTGCATAATACGGAGCCATCAATGCGCCTTGAACATTTGAATGACCCAGTCCTGTAGAAGAATTCAATTTTTTTATTTTCAAATCGTTAATTTAGTTCATTGAATTCATTAAAATTACCATTTGTTACTTAATGCTTGAACTTGTTTCTTAAAATGAATAAAGAGAGAAATAGTAACAAAGTTAGAAAAAGATATAAAAATAAAAACCCCAGTTGGAACCAACCAATAGCATGCCCCAACTCATGGGCAGTAACAATTTTCAAATTGATGCCCTTGTTTACCCCGTCTGTCCAATCTTCTCTGGCGTCATAATGAAGTTCTCCATTTTCTGGAAAGAAGGCGTGCGCAAGTACTCCATCTGTGATGTTGACGATAATTGCAGTTTGGTTCTAAGTTTATTTATTTACGTAGTTTGTTTATTTGCAAATTTCTATTTAACTGAATGAAATAAAATTATTAATAGATACTAACGACCTCTATAAATGAAAAAATAATCTGACTTGGTCCATCAAATGCATTTCCTGGACCATCTCCATGATTTCCGTTGACAAATTTGAGGTTCAAATCAGCCTTCCCTGTTGTTTCCTGGAAATCGAGTGGGACTGCCTGACTCCAGAGAGCAAAGGCATCTGTTATCGCTCGTCTCTGGATGCTTTCTGGCATTCTGTCAGCATACCAAAAGTTCTGCAGTTTCCACTTCAGTTGGTTTTTCTTCCATTTGTAAGCTTTTCAACATAATGATCGGTTTTTTAAATAACTTGGCGCTGATCCATTGACAGAAATTGACAAATTTAAAATGACTGACTGATATAATGCACTTTAACAATCGTACAAAATTCGGTTATACTGTTATAAATTAATAATTCTTTCGCAAATCATTAAACATCTTTTAATCGTATGTAAAACCAAACCTTAGCCACTCCCAACTCTACCCACCCTACCAACCAGAGGCATCAAATCTTTTAGCTATTCCCCGTTTCTCATCATCACTTTCTTCGTCACTAATGATGTCGGGAATTCCACATCTTGGAATCGTCATGGCGTGAATCGTTTCGTCGTTCAGTTTTCCAGTCTCTTCCAAGTGATACATGTTCTGGAATTCTCTGCAAAAGTTAGTGTTGTTGAACTTGCGGAATGGTTTTCATTGTGCGTGTAATTAATTGGTTATGATCGGATGATTTTCAGTGTAAGTGTGAATAAATGTGGATGTGTGTCTTTGTATGTGTGTTTGAATGTGTGTGCATGAGAGAATTTTTAGTATATGGGTGAGAAAGAGAAAAAGAGTGTGTGTATGTTGTGTGGTTGGGGCGTGCATATGAAATGCGACAGTAACTTTTGCGTAAATGTTGATTTTTTTGATAAAAAAATGTAATGGTAATAATTATAAAAATGTCAAACTTTATTGCGTTGGTTTTAGTTTCTGAATCATACGCAACGCCAGGCTCTGGCTCGGGCAAGTAACCAAATCTTTGTAAAAATTCCTGCCAATATGTTTTCATTTCAACTTTTCTATTAAGTCAACTAAGATTTTAACACCGTAAATGTTAAAATTTTGTCTTTAATTTGTCTACGTTATTTAACGTATTAATTAAGTTGTTTAACTGGTTGATTCTTGTTTATTAATCTCAGAGCAATCGTTTATATGAGAGCGATGTTTCTCATTAAAATCATTTTTATCGTAGGTTTACTGGCGTTCTAAACTTATACAATATTTGGAAGCCAAATTATTTCTGAATTACGTAAAAATTTTTTTTGAAAAGTTTATACTAAAATAAAAGGTTTTAATACAACGAGAATAAAAAGTTTTTTATTGAAACAATAAATGACATATACTATTAATATGAAAAAATATTAAAATATAATTAAGAATAATAGAAATATTAATAATTATAATACCGTAGGGTAGACAGCATTATCTCTTTTAGTTATCTCACTAGAATAATGAAATTAAAAATTTGAAATAACAATATTATATTATATTTTAAGATCCGGGGTGGGCAAACTTTTTGCTGTGAGGGCCGCATTGAAAACTATTTTACCTTTGAAGGGCCGCATATGTTTTTCAAAAGCAAATTTTTTCGACCCGTTGATCGTTGATCGGGGGAGAAACTTTTATTTTTTAAAGTATTTTGTTCGTAAAGTCTGGCTGAAGACTTTTTATTTGTCGAACAAGGCCTTGCGGGCCGCATAAAATGGTTTCATGGACCGCATTCGGCCCACAGGCCATAGTTTGCCCACCCTTGTATTAGATAATTACACACACTCACTCTCACACACACACACACACACACACACAAATATATTTACATATGACTTACCTATCACCAACGTTATTTTCCTGAAAAAAAAGAAAAAAATTGAAATAGAATAAAAAGAACCAAATACACATAAACACATTTGCACACACACATATATTTATTCACACACACACACACACACACACACACACACACACACACACACACACACACACACACGCAGTTTTACGTAAATGCATTATTATGTTTACCAAAGTATCTTTCTTTGTCATCCAAATCCATTTATGATGGTGCCTTTTAAAGTGGTTGCATTAATTAAAAATGATTGACAACATCTCAAAAGTTTTTTTCTAATTTGAAAATTTTGTTTTAATTTTAAATTGAAATTTAAAAAAAATATATTGAATCAAAAATTGTTTTTTTACCTTTTTTTGTTCGCGGTCGGCAAGTTTGGCTCTGAATCCTGCGTGATATAAATCTTTTTAATTAATTTGATCATCACCCTTTTTGTCATTGTCATTGTCGTCGTCACACACACACACAAACACACACACACAAACAAACACACATACGCACACACACAAATGCACATAGAGGCATTTTGTTTACCATAGTATCTTTCTTAGTCATCCAAATCCATTTGTGATGGTGCCTGTTAATGTGTTTGCATTAGTTAAAAATGATTTAAGATTCCGAATACTAATCATTGAATAAATTTTAAAAAAATTATTAATAATTAAAAATAGTTTTTTTTACCTTTTTTGGTTGTCGGTTGGTATGTTTGGCTCTGAATCCTGTGGGATATAAATTTTTTTAAATAATTTGATCATCATTCTCTTCATCATTGTCATCGTTGTCGTCACACACACACACACGCAAACACACACACACAAACAAACACACATGCGCACACACACAAATGCACACAGAGGCGTTATGTTTACCATAGTATCTTTCTTAGTCATCCAAATCCATTTATGATGGTGCCTTGTAATATGGTTCCATTAGTTAAAAATGATATAGAATTCTTTATTCTTATCATTAAATGAATTTTTTTTAATTATTAATATATAAAAATAGTTTTTTTTACCTTTTTTGGTTGTCGGTTGGTATGTTTGGCTCTGAATCCTGTGGGATATACATTTTTTTAAAATAATTTGATCATCATTCTCTTTATCATTGTCATCGTTGTCGTCACACACACACAAACACACGCACACAAATGCACACAGAGACGTTATGTTTACCATAGTATCTTTCTTGGTCATCCAAATCCATTTATGATGGTGCCTTGTAATGTGGTTCCATTAGTTAAAAATGATTTAAGATTCCTAATTCTTATCATTGAATAAATTTAAAAAAAATTATTAATAATTAAAAATAGTTTTTTTTTACCTTTTTTTGTTGTCGGTCGGCAAGTTTGGCTCTGAATCCTGTGGGACAAAAATTTTTTAAAATTAATTTCATCACCATCCTCATCATAGTCATCGTCGCTCTTATTACACACAAACCCCACACACATACACACACGCGCGCGTACACACGTAGAGGTATTATGTTTACCATAGTATCTTTCTTAGTCATCCAAATCCATTTATGATGGTGCCTGTAATGTAATTGCATTAATTAAAAAGGCTTTATTCAATTTTTTCTTAAATAAGTTTAAAAAATGATTTCAAATTAATTTACCTTTTTTTTAAGCCGTGTGGAAAGAATGGCGGTGGATTCTGCGTAGAATAAAATTTTGCAATATTTTTTTTTTATCATTATCCTTAATGTCGTCGTTGTCATCATCATCTTCTTCATCATCATCAACATCTCATCATTTTCGTCTCATCACCATCTTCATCATAATTTTTGTCATTTTAACAATTTGTGATTTAACATTTCTGCCAAATGAAAATTTCAAACAACACTAAAAAACACGTTTAAATAAACACAAAAATAACTGAAAGCAAACGAAAGCAAAAACTGAAAATAATCACCTTATATTTTGTTCTGTCAGGAACAAAGTTCTTCTGTCTCGATAAACTACTTTCTGTCAAGCTGAAACCATTTATCAAAAACATATTGTTATATTATTAGTTTGGTGTCAAGACGGTGTAATAGTTAGAGGCACCTGGCTCACTTTTGCAATAAGTGGGTTCGAACACTTAGCGTCTATTATACGCAATGTTCGACGCATTGGCTCACGCTTATTTGCATAAAACTGCGTATTGCTTGCAAATGAAACAATAAAAAACAATGGCAGTAAACATTACATTGAATTAATTTGAACTTTTAATTAAAAAAAAGAGAGAAAAAATAGCTCCAACGCATCAAGAAGCTCTCTCTTAAACTCCGGCTCTTCTGACTTGGGTAAATTTGACTCCAACACTTCTCGATCTTCACGAAAGTTTTCCTCACCTCGATCACTAACATCAAGTCCTTCCGAGAGATCTGATTCTCTTGAAGATGTCGCGAGCAGATTGCCAGCGTAGCCCGATACGAGGACCGCAACTAACAAAAGCTCAGACAGGTACATTTTTATTTAAATTTAAAAACTAACTTCAACTAAAATTTCAACTACAATCCTATCTACGATATGAATATTGCACAAAAGTATTTCAATATTTTAAACAGGGAGATTGAACTATCTCCCAAATATTTCTAACTTGCCACAGTCAATTTATTACAGACACGCACAAGTAGATCGGATCGGCTAAATTCGAAAATCATTCAGACGATTTTCATCTTTGAATGAATGACACCGAAATAAAGTTTATAACTATATATATATATATATATATATATATATATGTGTGTGTGTGTGTGTGTGTGTATGTGTGTGTGTGTGAATGTGTGTGTGTTTGTGTGTGTAGTGTTTAAGTTTATACATGTTTGATGAACAGTAATTAAGTGTCTAAATATATATTTTTAATTGTCTAACACGTTTAATTTTTCACAATCTATTGATCAGTCTTTAGCGTTGCATCCTTAAAGAACAAAGGCATCGACCAATCCTAATTACAATCCATGCAACTTTGAATCAAGCGGCTAAGATGACAAACTCTGGAAGAAAACATAAGAAGTAACAAACAAACAAATACCGTTACTACTACTGCTACTGCTGTTGCTGCTGCTAGTACTAATATTCTACTACTACTACCACTACTACTACTACTACTACTACTACTACTACTACTACTACTACTACTACTACTACCTACTACTACTAATACTACCACTGCTACTACTACTACTCTTATTACTACTACTACTACCACTACTACTACTACTACCTACTACTACTACTAATACTACTACTGCTACTACTTCTCTTCTTAACTACTCTTATTACTACTACTACTACTAATGCTGCTGCTGCTGCTGCTGCTACTATTGCTGCTGCTACTACTACTGCTGCTACTACTACTGCTACTACTACTACTACTACTACTGTTACTAAATAGACGGTAATCATCAATTAGTTATTTTATCCTGTTTAGTTTAATTAGTTCGAGTTCGGGTTTTTTGTTGGCTTAAAGTTTACGCGGAGCATACAACACCATATCGAATCAACAATTCATTTCAAAGTAAGCAAAAACTAAAATTAAAATGTTTACAAAGCCAATAACAACTGCTAAAACATCATTTATTAGAGAAAAATTATTCATAACAATTTTTACACCGAAAGTTTTAGCCACCAGTGTACTGGCTAATACAGAAAGTACTTCAAAAGCCCTCACAAGTGAGTCTTTATTTAGTTCCGTGAAGTCTCCTTTTACGTTTAACACTGCTCTTATTTACGTATTATTATTATTATTGTTTTAATTATGAGATTTATTTATTTTTGTTATTATTATGATTAGGAATAAAATTTTTATTTGTTAGTTATTAATTTATCACCATGATCATCATCATAAATACTGTAATTAATATTATGGATGTGGTGGACTGGCAGGTTATCACCATGAAAGTTTCCACAAACATTGTTATCATTTTCACCACCATCATCTTATCACGTGATTATCATAATTGTATAACTAGTCTTTTGTTAATCATCATCAACACAGTCAGTTTTTAATCCTTTCACTATTTAGACACGAATTGTTATCATTATGAACAATTAATTAATTTAATTATTTTTGAAAATGTGGAGCTGATATAGTGAATTAAGCTGGTAGTTAGTTAGCATCTTTACGTACGACTCATAAAAATGAATAATTTGCTAATGAACTAATGAGAATCCTGACGTCCTTGATGTATAACATTTTGGATCGACCGAATGATTTTCATTTTGTATGACCAAACAAGCACTGGCAGTTCGCTATTTTTTGGAATGTGGTGTTGATTAGATGAATAAAGTTGGTACTTTTTACTAGATTCATGTGGAACTCATTCTCGTAAGCGCGCCAAACTTTTAAAAAAAGAGATAAAAAAATTATTCTTATTAACTTAGAATTAACTAAGTAATATTAATAATATGATGTGTAGTACGTAATGATTATTGTGTTTATGTTTAACGAAATGAAAAAATTCACGTTACGTTATATTTAGTAGAAATGTGATTTTGGAGGAAGAAAATTTTCCTAGCCATGTCGTCTGCGTTGCCTCCAATCTAAGGATCATCTAATGATCTTTTATGATAAATTAATCAAACTTTTTTAATAACGCGATAACGTCGTTTCGCCGATATGATAACAAAAGATTTTTTTGTTTTGATATAGATTTGATTGATAAGATAACACACACACACATACGCACACGTAAGTGCACAAACACACACGCACACACATGCGTATTTATATAATTCAAATACAAACTATACGCGTTACAACACAAATCTCTATGATATTGCTTAGGCCTATTAACAAACTTACAGTGTATGTAATACATGGGATGAACACATCACACACACACATGTTGTGCGAGGTATTTTAAGCATTAAACCAACACTTTCAGCCTAGACTGTATAAATGCAAAAATACTTAATATAATATAATGCAATAATTTAACATGAGTCACTTCAAATAACAAGAAATTTATAAATAAATTGTTATGCTTCGTTCTGAGAGCTCACATCTTTGAAAGTTTCACCTTCAAACGTTCTATGACAATTTAATGACCATGATGAAAATTTGATGATGACGACGATGATGATGGTGACGACGACGATGATGGTGATCATGATGGCACTAAGGATGCTGATGATGAGTAGTAGGATGAAGATCACCGTTAAAATCGATAAAAAAGTAAAAATCTTTTTTAGGAAAAACCGTCGACTATCTAGATACGAGTCGAGATCATCAACCGAGTATGAACGAATATCGGATATCAAAACATGTTCAACGCTTGTTTTTAACTCGTTTGACGTGCAGTTTTTTGCTATATAAATAAGTTTTTTTACGTAATTATTTTCTCTCATCGCGGTTTTATTTCTGTGTTTTTGTGGATTTCTTCTTGTGTCAGATAATAATTGGAAGTTTTTTCAGTGCTCATTATCCATCATTAATGCCATCTATGGGCTTACCATACTATTATTATTATTATTATTGTTGTTGCTGTTGTTGTTGTTGTTGGTGGTGTTGTTGTTAATTTATCTATGAATGTTGCTACAATAATTGATGAAAAAAGTAAAAAATTGAAAATGTCGTCGTCTTTCATTGGATTCGAGTCGGGATCAACAACCCAATTAGAATAAATCTCAGGTACACAAAGATACGTGCTTTCATTATTGCTATTATTATAGTTGAGTTTATTATCTTTTTTATTTTTCTTCTTTTTCATCTTCTTCTTGTTATTATTCAATTTACAGTTGTTTGCTGCCCGTGATATTATTTCTTTGTCTGTTTTTTGTTTCACAATTTTCAAAAAAAAACTAAAAATAGTTTTTCTCGCATTTTTTTCAATAACATCATCATTACGTAAGGCGTGATTTTCTTTTCAAGTGCACTTTATGAAATCACCAAACAAACAAACAAACAAACAAACAAACAAACAAACAAACAAACGAATGAACGAACGAACGAAAGAATAAACAAACAAACAACTTGATTGAAAATCCCAATCTATCCATCCTGCCATCCATCCATCTTCACAAAGGCACAAAACAAATATGAGATCTTTTTATAATAAATACGTAAAAATATATGTTTGTACATTTTTGATGATCTGAAGATAAATGAAATCAAGTACGAATAATTACAATGTTGAGAGTTTGAACATCCGCACACAAAAAATCTCACACCCACACAAACACACACACACACAGACACACACACACACACACACATACACACACACACACATATATATATATATATATATATATATATAGATATACATATCCACACAAACACACACACACGCACATGAATACATAGAAAAGTTTAAATAAAACAACACGCACATATAATAATTTTGTATATCTATATATCAATTGCACAATGTGTAAAATATTTGTGAAATATACATGTGTGTGTGTGTGTGTGTTTGTGTGTGTGTGAGTGTGTGCGTGTGTGTGTGTAGTACGCCTGTGTAATGTATGTTATGTTTGTTGTATGTGGAAAAGCTAAATATGCGTAATAAACACTTTTGATATATTACAATGAATAAATAAATCATTAAAACTTAAAACCGAAGTTTATATATATATATATATATATATTTATACTATATAAATATATATATATATATATTACATAATATATATATAAATTATTATAAATATGTAAATTAATCGAACAAATTAAAATGACTAAAATCATTAAAATAAATTAAATTATCATCAACTATTAAAAATTTTCATTATAAATTTTCAAATAAAATGATTGAAAAGTTAAAAAATCCATTCACGATGCAGACTCAAGAAAGTGGGACGTAAAAAAGTTAAAATTAATTTCGCTGTTAAGAAACTGATTGTTACTATTGTTATTGATGTTATTATTGTTATTACTATTGTCGTTGTTGTTGAAGTTGTTGAAGTTAATGTTGTTGTTGTTGTTGTTGCTGATGTTGACGTCATCATTGCTGTAACTGCTGTTACTGCTGTTACTACCGCTATTGATGACGTTGTTGTTCATGATGATGTCATTGATGTTGTTATTGTTGTTGGCAATCCAATTAAAAATACTGCTATTGGCCGTGACATTAATAAGGTTTTCGTCTTTTAGAATGCTATCAAAGTTGATGTTATCACTGATATTCACGTTGCCGTTGTTGCTGCTATTGTTGAAATATATATTGCAGTTGTTAATGTCATTGTTAGTTGTATCGTAAAAAAAATTGTTGTTGTTGTTGTTGTTAATGATGTTGTTGTGGTGGTGGTTGTTGTTGTTAATGATGTTGTTGTTGTTGTTTGGGTTGTTGCTAATGATGAGAGGGTTAATGTCATCGGCGTTACGTGCTGCGTTAGTGCTATAAAGAGATGCAACTGATGTTGTTGTCGTCGTTGATGATGATGATGACGTTGGCGATGACGTCATCGTGCCGTGAAGAGGTTTCGTTTCGAATTGATTTATCGCTGGCAGTGATTGAATCTAGTTTCAGGAAAATTTATTATTGCTATTGTTATTACTAATATTATTATTATTATAATTATTACTATTGTTATTATTATTATTATTATTATTATTCACAATTGATACCTTTGTTTTTATTAGTCAGAGTAGCCCGAATATTCTTAACAATAATTTCAACTATATAAAATTAAGAACGTGTAGAAATGTGGTAGCAACTCGAGCAGCATCTGCAGCAGTAGAGATGGCTGCGGTAAAAATAGTAGCAGCAGCAGTAATAGTAGAAACAATAAAAAAAACACAAAGCAACAAAGATAATAAGAAGAATAAGAATAACAATTATAATAACAATAATTATTTATAGATATAGGTATCAGTAGAGAAGAAATGAACCACAGACAAAACATCCACTCAGCGACTTGTGTTCTAATTATAAATCACGTCTATGAGGCTGATGATAAAATGAAACGTATTAATAACATTTTTCTTCTATCTACCATTCGTCTGATCGTTTGATTGTTTGTTTGTTTTGAAATTATTATTATTATATATTTTTATTTTTATTATCGTTGTTTGTTTGGCAATTCATTCATTCGTTCGTTCGTTCGTTCGTTCGTTCGTTCGTTCGTTCGTTTATTTGTTTGTCTATTAATTCATTCAATCATTTATATATTCGTTCGTTCGTTCGTTCGTTTGTTCGTTCATTCATTCATTCATCACCCCTACTTACAATTCTCTTGGCATTAAGTACCACTTCGCTATAAAGGGGTGGTGGCTGGTGTGATTTGTTGATGAAATTTGATGACATCAATGATGACGATGACGTCATGGATGATGACGGTAATGATGATGACATTAATGATGACGATGATGGCAGTAAGGGTGATGATGATAATGATGACAGTGAATGAGTTTGTTGAAAAAAATCTTGAGAATTTTGGTAAGGGAGCATTAAGGGGTATTGTGGTTCAAGTTTGATTGGTTGATAGTGTGTTGTGGATGAGATGTTGTTGTTATTGTTGTTGCCGATGTTGTTGATGTTGATGACGTTGTTGTTGCTGCCACTAATGTTGCTGAAACTGATGCTGTTGCCGCTATTAATGTTGTTGAAGTTGCTATTGTTTAGAATTGTAGAGAATGAGATGTTGGTTAGCATTGAAATGTCATCAGCATTATCTTCAGTCTCCATTTTCGTGAAATCATTGTCGATTATAAAATTTTCGTCTGCGGCATAATCATTTTCAATGGTCATTTTATTGTCTACGGTGATACTACTGTCTATGCTTCCGTTGTTGTCAAATAAAAATTTCATATCCATGCTGTCGTCATCATCGTCGTTGTTGATGTTGATGTTGTTGTTGATGCTGATGTCATTATTTTCAAAGCAATTGCTGTTGTTTTGAGCGTTGAAAAATTCATTCTCGGTTGGAGAGAGTTCATTGAAGAAGAAATCTGTATACATGAATTGGTCGTCACTGTTGTTCTTGCTACTACTGTTCTCAGTATCATTGTTGATGTTATTGGTGTTATTGTTGTTAATGTTGTTGCTGTTGATGTTGTTGTTTATAATAGAATAGTTGTCCAATCGGTTGTAGAAGTTGTCCATGTTGCTATCGTAACTGTTGTCGTCGAGGTTGTTGTTGAAAAATCTGTAGTTCTCTAGATCAAAATTGTTTGTTAAGTTTGTCGCAATCTCATCAAAAATATTGTTGTTGTTGTTGTTGCTGCTGCTGTTGTTGTTGTTAGTGATATTATTGGTATTAATGTTATTGTTGTTGATGTTGTTGAGGATATTTGGGCTGTTGTTGTTAATAATGTTGATGTTATGTTGCATGGTGTTGCTCAAACTTCTTATATCTTTCTTGTTAGTGTTGTTAACCTCACCGGTCAGTAAACTAATTTTGTGGTTGCTGAAATTAATGTTACCATTCACGATTTTGGTATTGTTATTGATGTGGTTAGTAATATTAACGTTGTTGTTGTTATTGTTGTTTATAGTATTATTGATGTTGTTGTTGTTGTTGAACACGTGTTGTCTGGCTAGTGACAAGCGCTGTTGCATGTAGCACAACTCGATATGTACCTTCAACAATTCCTGTTGTTGTTTCAACCACAACAACTGTTTTATAGTCGATGTAATGTTGTTGTTGTTGTTGTGGTTGTGGTTGATGTTGTTGATGTTTTCATTGTTGTTGATGCTAGTGCTATTTACACCAACAGTGTTTAAAAACTTCAAATTGTTTATCACGTTGTTGGTAGCAACGCCAATCAGGCCAGACTGCAAAATCTGCAATCTAGATCCTTCCAAATTTTCGCCGAGTTTCCCGCTAATTTTTAAAATATCAGCTGATGAAAAGGATGGAATTTTGTGCGGCAATACACTAACATTAGTTTCACTTTCTATTTTAGGCAACTTGAAGACAGTTGTTGTTTGTTTGTAGGGTGTTGTTGCAGTTGGTGTTGTTGGTTGTAGAAAGAGTCGTTGTCTCAATGTCTTGTAACTACTCAACAAAATGTTTGCCACCGATCTGCACGCTGCTGCTGTTGTTGTTGTTGTTGTTGTTAATATTACTGAAGATAATGATGATGATAATGGTATCAGTGGTGGCAATGATGATGATGATGATGATGACAACGATGTTGATGAATGTGATAGCGATGATTGTGT